AGAGTATTATGCCTCCAAGTTATGTTTAACCTTCTCATGAAACCAGGACACTGGCAGCAGATCATAGACGAAACACTTGTTGTGGTGGTCTCATTTGGAATTTCTTAACCCGATTGTTCCTGCGAAGCAAGCTACACGAGTTACATTAGAGAGCACCATCCAAAATGGCATGATAAAGACCCGTTCGACATCGGAGCAGGGCTATCGGTTAATTGCTTGGTTAAGGTAAACCGTTTGGTAGATTTAACTGACTCATTACAGCTGTTCTACTCCGTGGGCGTTCCGTGATCAAGGGACATCAACTAAACGGCACAATTTGACCGAGAAATCCCTGTTTTTGCCTCCAGAAGCATCCATTTAGGGCTTTAAAATAGCCATGGTTATCTCTCGTTAACCTGTTTACGCGATGACACCTCAACAATAAATTTTCGCACCACCGAGTGAGACTTATTCAGGGGAACTCAATTTTATCACACCGCAACCTGTGATGTTGTGTTCTCCATTCTGAACTGTGGTTGTGGTTAGCTACGCAATGAAATACCTCAAAGAAGATTTTTTAACCCTTTGCCTTTTAATATAATCAAGGAATATATTCACTCAAATGGGAAGGTGAAGCACACTATGCTGCTTTTAGTCTCGTAATGCGCCACTTGCAGCAGGTGTACACACATACAAAACTTCACAGGTAAAATGTAGGGTTTCAATCCGATAAGAACAGTTAGCGACCTGTCATAGCATAATAAACCTTACCCGATCTTATCCAATTGTTTCCTGATTAACTGTCCCTACACATCTTATCCTTTGCTCCCTTTCCAGTATTGCACTGTCCGGTTTTCTGTAATCTCTTTTGAACGAATCCAATTGAAAATTGACATTCAATTCTCCCGTGACTGCGGTTCCATGACATGCATGCGTACTTGATCAGTAAATCACTGTGATATGATTAAATCAATTATTTCTCATCAACTTCTTTCTGCCTACTGTTCTGTCTGTATAATTCTTAAATCTGTTCTTATTTTCCTGACATTGGAGTTTACGTTTAACCTCAATCTCGAAGTGAAGAAGACTTTTAGTGAACAATGTTACGTGATTCCTCAGGTTCTAAATATATATATAAATGTATTGTATTATTCAACTTTGTGCTAGACGGAAGCTACATAACCAAGATTCGCACCAGTTCTAGTGCGATGGTTCCAGTCGTTCGGTACAATTGCTGTATTATGAATACGGATGATAGACACCAGGGATCTAAATGATTCGGTTGGCAAATCAACAATATCCACTTTAAGAGGCCTGCTTTGAAAGATGAATGAGAGGTTCACAGTTCGGGGGTAGTCAACGAATTAGCAGATACCAAATACCACAAATCGTTCCTGTTTGATTATATATGTCATTAGGATATTTAATACGTACATACTTTATTGTTTACTACCTTGTGGTATCTAGCAACCAAAAATGCAAAACTGTTTTGGTTTTTATTTCTAAATTAGGTGCTAGATTGCAAGTTTTACTTGCCATTCGACCCAACTACAGTATTTTACCGAAACCATTTCGTTTGGTTTACGAATATAGTTTGAATTCCGGATAGAGCTTAAAGGTAATACCCAGCATCACCCCGCCGAGAGGGAATTTTTTGACCATAGTGCCACGTGAATGGTGTAAATTTGTTGTTTCGCAAACATGGTAGCTCTCAATTCACTTTCTCTTACAGTTCACTGGATAGAGTTGATCAAGATTCTCATGCGGGGAAACAAGAGAGCTTTTTGAATTAGCCTGGGCTTTCATCTATCCCTCCTCAAGATTGATTTTCACACTGATCGAATTAATTTGATGATGAATGAATTTCACTCAAAAAACACTTAAGTAGGATTGAACATTGACCAGAGGCATTTGAAATAAGGAAAGAAAATTCTGCCGGCAGAAATAAAAGAGATTTGGTTTAGTCAGAACAGGTTGCCATTAGTGATAGCTGTACAACCACTTCTCAGTCATAGAAGTGAATCTCCACATGGATGCGGGGCATCATAGGAAATCTTCAACAATAATATTATAGTGCTGTGATAAATTTAGTTCCCACAAAGGGACACTGCAGTTAAATTTCTTTTGAAAACCGTGCACAACAAACATGAGTATTGGATGTAAATCTTTTAGTGATACCAAATAAAATCCAGTAGTCTGATCTAATTTACACAATATCGCATTTACGCTCTAACAGGAAAAGCATAGTCCAGACCCTATCAACTGAAGTTCATTGCATGCATTAAATACAACTTAAAATTGTACAGACTGTAACGGTAAAGGAAATTTTCATTATTTACTGTATACTTGACCAACTATCTATTTCTAAACTTCAAAGAACCCATTACCAAAATCATTTCTAAATTTTGTTCATCATCGAATGACATCAAAACGCCCGCATATATATATATATATATATATATATATATACCCTCGCACTGCAATGTACTCATTGGCACTTTTAACAAACACAATGCTTTCAACCGGCAGATTTTTAGTAACAGGACTTATAGAAAGCCCGTTGCCCAGACAACGCAGCATAAGGTAGGCTTCACGTGAAACCCGGGTGAGGGAAAGAATATAGTCCCAAAGCCCACCAACCCATGTGCTTACATAACCGGTAAAATAACGCGAGTAACAGGAGTTTCGAGCAGTTTACGTTTCCCTTTCACTAGACCATCACAAACTAGACA